ACGCTCGTCTGATGCCACGGCCTAATCTGATTGAAATACAGCCTCGAACATATTTTTAACAATTTACCTTCATTTAGTCTTGCCTTTTCCTGATCGAGCAAATCGCAAGACCTCGATGAAGGCGCAGGCGGATTGTGACTTGAGTTTGTGTCCTTTATCACAATTTTAGGGCACTTACTGGAGAACACTGTCCTTATCGGGTAAATGATAACTGGAATAAAAGAGAAAGCAATACTGAGTTCTGAAAACAATAAAGATAGTATACGACTTGTTATAAGGCCATCTCGACCCTATCGTTGGCATTCACATGACATAAACTCATGGGTGATTTGCCATAAGGCATAATTAGCAAACCATATACTTACGTTGTAGTTTGTCGCAGCGGGTTAAAATTGGAGGTAACTCAAGTTCCAGTTGCTGGTCTGTCTCTATTGATATTCTCTCTGTTCTACCATCTTTCTTTGTTTCCCTTGTGAAAAACAGACACTGTATTTAACTTCTGCAAAAGCTTTGATCGGTAAGAGTTTGTAAATTATACATATTGATTAAGAAGCGGTGCTGTAAGAAGAGGGCAAACAATATTTTGAGGACTTTGCAGCAAAAAGAAGCGGAGCATATTTGAGGAATTACGTTCGCCTACCTATTAAGCTCCACACGGAGATTATCACCGAGACCTAAAGTCTTTGCGGTGCTTTTAATGCCAGCAAATTCACTGAAAGTAAAATACATAAATAGTCATGACTACTATAAGGACAAACGCTTTTAAATCTTTAAACCCACAGTTTGTGTCATTCAATTACGTGAGCACGTGCCTCTAGCGACCTCTCTAGCTTCTGATCGCCTGGCAGAGGCCTAATTGTCTATTTCGGAAACCCGAGTGGTAATATTAATAACTTACTTAATATGTAACACGTTAAGAGGTAATAATTCACGAATAGGATGAAAATAAGTACCGAAGAAATGTGCGTTCACATGGCCTTAGAAGTAAGAGACTAAAATAATTTACTAACACAAGCATATTGTAACACCATAAAATAGAAAATCTGTTCTTCTTGCCTTTATCGATCCTTCCATGGCATCTTAGAATTGCTGTACTTCCAGGGTCGGTTAGGTTTTAATATTAAGGTTACAACTTACCAAATACTCTCCCTGAACTTCACGAGTCTTTTTTCTTCCTTGTCTATCCGACATCTGAATTTGTTTTTCTTCCGAAAGTTTTCTCCGCCTTTCCCCTCTTCGTAAAATAATGCAACACAATCGATTACAACGAGTTCAGGAGGATCAGCCACTGCCATTGCCGAAGCGCGCGGGTTTATAGAAACGCTCTTTGACCCCGTGTCAAGACTTAATGTTAAATATTAAATGGTATTAAATGTTACGTCAGTAGAAGACCGCGCGACTGCGTATTGTAATTGGCTGATGAAACGTTAAAATGTCTAAAATTGTTGATCGATTAGTACTGTTCATAATCACTTACGATCACGTTTCAGATAATAACTCGCGTGACGGAAGATGTCTGACATTCTGTTTTAGCATGTTTCCGAAACAATCGCAGAGGATAAAAAGAGCTCGGAAACGTAGCAGGACTTAAACGATAATTTTTGATACCGCCCAAAATGCT